GCGGGGTGGGGCGCAAGGAGGGCTCTAGGTGCTGCGCGACGCTGCCCGGCTCCGGCCCAGCCCCGACCCCGGGGCCCAGCCTCAGCCTCGGCCCCGGCCCAGCTCCCGGCGGTGCGGCTCCGACCCGGGCCCTGGCACAGCTCCAGGCACCCCGGCCCTGGGGGGTGGTAAGCAGCATGGTAAGAGGCCGGGGCCGGGGGGTTGGATAAGGCGGGGACAGAGAGTGGGGGGAGGGTTGGATGGGGCAGAGGTTCTTGGGGGGCGGTCAGGGGATGGGGAAGGGGGGGATTGGGTAGGTGCTGCGTGGGAGTTCCGGGGGTCTGTCGGGGTGGTGGTGGATGGGTCGGGGCAGTCAGGGGACAGGGAGCAGGGCGAGTTGGGTGGGGGTTGGGTCCTGGGGGGCAGTTAGGGTTGGGGGTCTCGGGAAGGAGTGGTCAGGGGACAGGGAGCGGGGGGGTGTTTATGGGTTGCGGTTTCTGAGGGGTGCAGTCGGGGGCAGGACATGGGTGGGGGTCGGATGGGGGGGTGTACTCACTGGGCGTTTCTATACCGGGTCTTCGGCAGCGGGTCCTTCTCCCGCCAGAGCCGTGCCGCCGAAGACCCGGTAGGGAACCGGTTCCTAAGATTTTGGCAGCTCATCACTGACTGGGGGCCAGCAGCAGCGGCTGCACTAGGGGTGGCAGAGTCTCCCCTGGCCTATTATACCTGCCGCCCATGCTGGAGCAGGGGCCATGTAGAGATTCTTTCAGCTCTGTTCCAGCAGCCCCACCCTACCCATCCTGAGCTAGAATGGGAATTGAACCTGACGGGTGTTGCGGGTCTATCCGACCACCTGCTTAGAGATGAAGAAGGACTTTTTTCTCCCATGTAGAAAATAAGTAGAGGACCAGGGAGTTTTTCACCTTCCTCACAGCACCTTCAAGCCACAGTAGGTTAAGTATGAATGTGCTCAGGACCTAACTGAGGTACTTGGCTCGGCTTTTAATCTGTCGCGACTTGTAACCCATTTCCAGTGCAATTAAAAGGACAGAAGACAACCAGGGTTGGTGGGCCTTGGGCTCATGGGATAGGGTGAGACTTTGAAGTCCCCACCCTTCTGCACCCTTTGTCCTCCTTATAGAAGGTGAGATGGTAGGACTCATAGCAAGCTGAGTACCCAGGGGGTGGGTGAAGAGAGCCTACCCTGAGTTCCAGTTTATTTGGTAGGAACCCTGTAATCCCTGCTCTGAAACCACTTACATGCCTGGCATAGGAAAGTATAGGTGATGGGCGAGTATTGCCCCTCCCTAGTGTTAAAATTTAATAAAAGTTGTGCCCTGCAACTTAAAATTCATCCAAGTGTCTGCCCTCATTTCACCGCCATGTCCGAGCAATGCTTTTTATCACCTTCCAGATAAGAAAACACCTGGAATTTAAGGCCCAAGTTTCCAAACTTGGGCACCCAAAATGTGTCGGCAAAACTCACACATGCACTTCCTGCATTCTCAAATGGGCTTTTGTACATTACAAATGGGTAGCTGTGCATCCAAGTACCCATTCGTATATACAGCTGTGGAATATGCATGCAATAAAATTGCAGTGCAATTTTGCAGGCATCACTTAGGCACTGACTTTTGAAAATTTAGCCCTAAAAGCACATTTCTGCAGGCTTTTGTGTTTGCTTTAATGGCTAAGCAATTATCTGTACAAAGCAGTTTATGCATAAGCAAAGTAGTAGTTTTTCAAAACTTTTGTTGCTCTGACTCTGTATTCCGCATTAAGGATTATTTGCATACAGTACCATAATTAGCATGGATAATCTCCTTGGTTTAAATGGGAATTAACTAGCAACATTGGCATTGGAATAGTCCAATTGACTTTGTGTTGGAACTGGAGCTGGAACTGCTTTAAAGCCAGTCCTGAAGGAATGTTAGGTTAGTTTTCCATTCCTGCACACTCTGTGCCAATCTCATCAATCCTAAGGAAGGACAGGCCAATCAGCAGGGGAGTTAGATGAGATACACAACTGCTTCTCCCTGCTCGACAGAGGGGGCAGGAGTCATAGTCCCTCTGTATCCCCATGCAGAGACTGTGAGGTACTGGAATTTTCAGAGTTCATGGTTGTCCCTGTAATGTTATCTGAAAGCACCTTTCTGAATTCAGGGAGACCCTGTACAGACCTTCCTTTCTTGGCCTTTGGATTTAGTTAGCATCAGGGAAAAAGTATCTCTGCGCACAAAATCAGCGTGGGTCAGGGAGCTTCAGTTGCCTCTCCATAGAGGAGAGGGGTCAAGATTTGCCCCTTAATATGTAATTTTATTACTACTTGTTATGTGTGTAGGCCATACCACATAATACACAGTATGCACTACCAGTATTGTATAGATGGTACCGACTACACCGATAGCAACCCAAAATATATCACCAAATCAAAAATGAAAGGGATAAAAAGGAACAAGAGAAAAACTAAGACAATACAAAAGGAAGTTATTAAACATGCCAGATCTTAAAAGGCTAACTCTGGCTATTACAAAATTGTGACACTCCATTGAGATAGTGACCTTGGCAACATAATAAAAAAGAACAAATATCACTCCTTACAAAAGGCCAAGGATTAACTATGGGTTTGTAGAGTTCCTTAGCAACTCAAATCTAAAGTGGACACACATGTAAGCACAGGTTGCTATTGGCACATATAAAAATTTTGTGACATGCTGAAAAACTGGAAAGATCTGTACAAGCCTCACTTATAATTAGGAAGAAGTGTAAATAGTCTTGGAGACTAACAAAGCTAGTTGTACAGTACAGAACTTCAGAGGTCATAGTTTAATTGTTGGCATTTCAACCTTAGTATTTTCAATGAGCCACTCTTAGACATGCCATGCTGGGAGAGTCATCCCTTAGATAACTTGCCAAGGATAAGGGACAAAACTTGAGAGGTATTTTAATGTCTTTTATGCACAGCACTGCAATATCTGCTATAACTTCAACCTTCTCTACAGCCAGAAGGGGAAATAAGCAGCTCACTCTTGAACTCCTGCCAGCTCCTTTTTTTTACAGAACAGCAGAAGGATTCATCCAGCACCCCCTTTCCAGAGACATCTATCTGCTGCTAGTGCTAAGCCTGGTAACCTGAATCCTTTCATGAATTCAGATTCCCCACACGGCAACACACCATGTCACAACGGCCCCACTAGCTCTAAATGGAGGAGGGGTTACACGTCCTTAAGCTGGCACAGAAGTTACATATGTAAAGACTTCGTTCTTGTATTATCCAATAACAGGATAGGCTGTCAGTACGAGGATGTGTCTCAAGACACCAGCTTAAGCACGCTAAGGAGAGGAAGGTTGATATGGGGAAATGAATAAAACCAGGGAAATACTAGAGAGAAGTCCTGTCAGAAAAACTAGTTCCAGTACATCATCTCATTTACACAGAGTGAAATTAGGAGGCACTGACTTGATGCTGTTCAAGAAATTTGAACATGTAATGGATGAAATGGAGTTTTGAATTAATGGTTAAGATTTATTGCTTCCAGATATAAGGAGGCAAGCTATCAGATTTATATTTCTTAATTTTTTAGAAAAAAATATTCAGTTTTCATAAAGTACATTGTAAAACATTTATAATTATAATGCAGTGATGTTATCTAGTCAAAAACAGGACTGGAATTATTTGACTAGAGAACAAAAAATTGATTTATTAATATTTTCATGGATTCAAAATGACAAGATTTGTTCACAATGATTAGTGGTGTCATTTTATTTATTTATGAGTAGAGCTGGTTATGAATTCCCTGTTGAAATATTTTTCACTGAAAAATATGATTTCAGAAAAATCAACATTTTTAGCAGGAAAATGCTGATTTTGAAAAAAAACCAACAATTTTCCATTGGGAAAATCTAAATAAAATATTTCATGTCAGTGTGACATTCATCACTATCTGTCAGAGCAACCACAATGTCTCATGGGATTTGTAGTCTGAGTTTTTCATGCCCCCATTCTCCCTTATGGACTTGGTATCCTGGCTGGATTACATTTTCCATGATGCACTGTGGCTCCCCTCTGGATGAGGTGCATCATGGGACTCCCATGACTGCAGATCATCAGGAAAATGCAGTGTGACTAGGGATCCCAGCCCACAGAGAATCATGTTGGATGAGTCATCTTAACTTCAACTTCCATGAGACACTCCCAGCCCAGATGGATGTAGGCTACTGTTGAAATATTTTGCGTCTGAATAAAAATTTTGCTGAACTTTTGTTCCAGGAATAGTTTTGATATTGCAACTTGTCACCCTTCAGGAGAAACACAAATGTCAAAATAGCAGTATTTCCTCTGAGACAGAAATTCTCCATTTATGAATATATGGACAATCATAGAGTATTTTTGAAAATGCATGTGATTCCTGAGAGCTTTATTAATTTTAGCATGAATGATTATTTATCTAAATTGTCTTTCTGTAACTAATTTATGGATTATTCTCCATTCATTATTCTCCTGTTCAGAAAGATTCAGAGAGCAAAAACAATTCCATGTAACTTAGGTGGCCAACCACAAGCAACAAATGGTAATTGAAGGAAGAAGCTAATAAACAACCTATAATACAGTCCGGATACATTAGCACAGCTGTGAAATCCAGTTTCAGCAGTCGAAAACCCAGGCTTACAATGCAGTGTGGACGCTCAAGCACAGTCCTGGAAACACCAAGTCGACAGACCTGGGTCCCACAAGCCCAAGCGTAGTGTGCAATGCAGACATATCTTAAATGGTGTTTCAGGATGGCTCAGAGTATACACTGTAAGGTATCACCATTTTTGTTTCATTTTTTTTCCTGTCCTTTGCTATGTATATGTTACTATCTGATAAAAACGTGCAAAATGTTTTAAATTTGTGCCCAGGAATTTAGCTGCACACCACCCATTAAAGATACTGGGAGGCACTTAGCTATGTGTCCATTCCATGTCACACTGTGGGAATTAAGGAAGCAGTGTTCAGTGTATTCATAACAGCAACTCACCCTCTGCATCTTCTGGCCTTGTAAGGTCAATGACTCCTGGGCCCAGTTTTCCATCTTCACTGGGTTTCCCTGTTAATTGTGGGCCTAAATTCTCAAAGCGTGTTCTTTCCTGGAAAAGACAAGAGATACTATTAATGCTCCCTATATCCTAGTCCTACGTCTATGTGTATGTTTATATACAGACATATGCCTTTTCTTGTCTTTTCTTTTCCTGAGTGAATTAAATGAGCAGGTTTTAATTAAAAGTATAGTTTAGAACATAAAGTTGAGGGCTTCATTTTCATAGGTTCTGAGCACCCAGAGCTCTCATCAATGTCAGTTGGAATTATGAGTGTTCCGCACTTCTGAAAATCAGGCCCTAAGGTTTCAATGTGAAAATATACATAGAAGCTTCCAAATTAGGCTGAACTGCACCTTTATAATGTATAAATGATGGTACATTCAACCGCAGAAAACTTTTGGCAGGAAGCAGTGCTGATCTATGCTGCACACTTTGTCTTTCCACTAAACTTTGTGACTTAAACTGGAAAAAAAACAATCGACATTTGAGAGACACTAAAATTTAGAACTTGAAAGAAAAGTTCCTATTAAAACATGCTGCTAATTTAATGGAAAAAGCACTTTTTTTCCACTAAAAGATCCAAGTTTGCATTCGTACCCCTGAGAAAACACAAGTCTGAATTTTATGCAAGAGGCTTTCAAAGACAAGTATTCAAAGAAGGAATAGTAGATGATAGAATTGATACTATTATTTTGTCTAGGAATTTCAACTGAACCTCAATGGGAATTGAAAAAGAGACAGGACGGTGCTTGCTCCTAGAAAAACACAAAGCCTTTGAGAGCTGGAGACCTGCACAGGAAAGCTGGACCTGGAACTGTAAAATGAAAACTAAGGGAGGCATTTTATGTGTTAACCCAATCTTCAATCAAAGAACTACAGGGCAAAAGCACTACAATTGACAGTGCAATATTCCTTCACAATGTGAGTCTCTGTAGTACTCTATATCAGTAGCTAAGTGTTCAGTAGTTATCATTAATTTAGTGTTCTCATTTGAAGGAACACAACATGTTTTCCCTCTTGCCTTGTTGTTACTTCTTCAGACTAAACTTGGTATTATGTTGTACTTGTGAATGAATGAAACCTTGTTGTTCATTACTATGAAACAATATTAAATGTCATGTCAGCTTGAATTTACAGACATGAAATACCAGCTTTCAGCTCCGCGAACAGTTTCTGCATGTTATACTTAATGCATTATGCAGAAGTAGAGTGCTGATTGCTGTTCAGTCTATTGTTCAATGACCTAGTTCTGTACTGAGCATTTTAGACATAAGAAGAAAACATCATGAGTTTTCTCTCCTGCACAATGTTTAGAAACTTAGAAATGTTCTTAAAGACCAAACATACAATTACTTGATGGCTGTTGTGCCTCATTTGTTCAATCTCAGTTCATCTGTGCTGTCTAATCTGATTATTTTTTGAATATCATTATATTTCTATAATTAATTCCCATCAGCCAAATTGTTCAGGAAGCCTTTTGATTCTTCAGATCATGGAATATGTTTAAATCTACACGGGAAGAAAACACAGCACAAAACCGATTCACTGGGTTTACCACCAGAACATGCAGCTGAGGAGTTTCAGGTACTAACTGCATTTTTAAAAGTTTCTTAAGATCTTCCATCCATCTTACAAGTTAGCTTTGCATTTTCATAATGGAGTAACATTCTCCATGCTACTGAGTTGTTTTTGTAGTGTAGCTTTCCTATATAATATATCTGTTGATGAGGTGACACAGAGAGGAAATGTGACTTAGAGACAGGCAAACTAACAATACAAGGCCAACCATTATACCCAAAGATGTTCTATAATCTAATAATAGTCCTGTACCATCAGAATGGAATCTGCTTTGCTGGCAGATAGGAATGAATTTTTTTCAAGTGCTCCTTGTTCCATTGTTGAGGGGCTAGTTTAGACTTTCACAATTTGCACTCAAAATAAAAGCAAAAATCAGTACTAAGAAAAACAGCCTTTAGCAGACACCGTTTCTCTTTCCAAATATTTGCATTAAAGCCTTTTCTAAAGGAGTGTTAACATGGCATCTGCAGTATTCTTGGAAGAACAATCGTTACGTGTGGTTTAGAAGAAGGAGAAATATCTTTCTACTATTAAAATCAACAGAACCTGCTATATATCAATATGCACATTTGAAGTATCTTTCTAGTCATTCATTCTCTTTGATTTTTTACCAGAAAATATTCTCTGTTAAAGAAAAGGAAAAAAAAGTTTCTGAAAGAATATCAATATTTTGACATTGACAAGGAGAAAAGGGGAAATTACATGATAAGGGCAGAAATAGTAAGACGAGAAAGCTTACACAATAATAATACCTTTTCTTCTAAAAGAATTAAAGTCCACTTATGATTCAGTAATAACCTCTGGTTTTCAATTCATAGGAAAATATACCACAGCTATTATTTCTCAATATATACACTGGAATGCCTTTTTAGTCTGATTTTTTTTCAATGAAAAATATTCTTCACAGCGATGCTTATAATATCAATATTTGGATGAGGTATTAGTAAAACTTATATGAAATGCTTTTATTAACTTAATATTCAAAGGGACACTCAACCTGTTTAGGTCCCAACCTTTTCCTTTCTTTAGGGCTTATCCTAGTAGGCTTCACGTCAATCAGCTAACGTATGGTGAAACCACAACTTACCTTGTTTACATTATGATTTTAAAATGTGTTAGTTATCACATTAAAAAAAAAACACCCTTTTTCCTAGTGCAAACAAGTCCTAAAGGAAAATAAATTCTACATAGCCTATAGCCACATAAACGAACATCTACATGTACAAATTGTAAAATATTTTTAAAGTTTGGGGGTACACACACACGTGTGTAGATATATATATATGTATATATATATATATATAAGCACATACTTATTAACAAACAAATACACATACCCAGTACATCCCCACACACACACATATGTGCAGCCGGAAATATATACGCCCACACAAGCTATGTTTATATATATTTTTGCTTCTTAGCCACACAGAGCTAATTTGTTTGTATGTTTTTAGTTAAGGCGCATCTTCCGGGGATAGGGTGTGTTTTTTACCTCCTTTTCAAAAGGTAATTTTGGAAATCTAAACGGTGGACAATATCCTTTAATATTGTCTGTGTATCATCTGCTGTATATTCATACAAAGCTGTTCACTTTAAATTGTGTAATTTCAAGGAAGTGCTTAGGACATGATCCTGTAAATCTTTACTCATGGGAGTAGGCCCACAGAAGTCAATGGAACTAAAACTTTGCAGGATCAGGGACTTTTGCTGAAACTGAAAGCTCTCTCAAGCACAGTTTGGGTCTTCTGTGTTTTTGTGTATGTTAAAAATACAGTAAAAATTAATCACTACTTTAAAATTAGTAGAAGGAAAAAATTCTTCTTGCAACAGCCAAATCTTCATTTTCATTCAGTGACATGATTAGGCACTTATTTATGCATTGTGAGTCACAAACATGCAAAAAACATAAAAGTTATTAAAAAAAATTAAAGTCTGTTCCACTGTGTTGTAGGGCTGTTGGTTCTCTAAGTGCTTTGAAATTATGATGTATGAGGTAGATGTTGCATATTAAATAAAGATATTTAAATGATAAAGCCCCTTTAGTGAGAGCTGATGAATGTTAAACGTTACGAGCCACAAGACTCTGGCATCCATCATATTCACATGTTATCACAGTCAATGATGGAACAGCCCCAGCGATGACAGATAGACTGCTAGATTATTATCCCTTATTTCCAGAGTCACCGAGCAAGCCAGCCAACCCCTTAGGCATTATTTTTAACTTTGCATTAAATTAGCAACTTTTCCCTCATTTCTGTGGCAGGGATTATCAATTCTTCCTGCGTGTGTGGAAGGTAAAGGGACGGTTTAGTCAACCGAGAAGTAGAGGAAGCAAGGCCCTTCCTACAAAAAAGCTGCAAACTTCAAATTACTAGAAACAAATATAAAATTGTGATCTTCTGGAAGAACAGCAATGAAACAGTAAGCACACAATAATGGCTTTTCTCTGCACTTAGATAAAAGCTGAATTTTTGATGTGCACAGTATATTTTCATAAAATTTTATATACTATGTTTTATACACTTATTGGCTATTCCATAATAATGTGTGTGCTAACAGTAAAATTGCTCTTAAATTTATGTGTGTTATTTATACGTTCCCACGTAACAATGCTTTTTGTTGTAAAAAATATTCTGTTTATTAATGTAACTTTACAACCACTGCATCCAAGATCCGTGGTAAATTAATGACATTTTTATTATTTTATAGTGTCATTAAATTTTTACTGATCATTCCATCAAACAGAAGCAATAAAGGCCATAATGTAAACTGGGACACTTAGATCAGGGGAACAGGAAGGCATTCCATATAGTCTGAAGTAAACGACTTGCTATAAATGATATTTATACCATCTTTAAGCTTGTGAGAATACTTGGACAAGTTTGGCAAAACTGTTTCAGTAGTGCAGTAGATTGTGTACTTAAATAACAGTTTACTTGCCAGCAAGACAAGTTTTTTTCAAACCAGATGCGAGATGACTGATTGCATCCATCTCTTGAAAAACAATATACGAAATGTAATAATACACTAGATACCCCTCCCTTCTGGATTACCAAGACTGATCAGACTATACCCATGCCTCAAATTAGTTCAACATGCTAGCTTTTTCCACATCTGAAATGTGTGTTCAGACGAAACTGGAAAATGGCATACCAGCTGATGCTTGTGTGAAAGGGGTTTGTTCTATTTTTTTTTCCAAACAAATACATTTTATTTAAGTAGACATGGCTGGACAATGATGTAATACTCTTTGTTTCAATAGTTTAACTTGGCAGCAGTTGCCAACATTTATTTAAAGAGCCAATTTCTAGAGTCTGAATTAATATGGGTCATTCACAGAAGCCACAGAACTTATGCCTGAGGGGCTATTATATATCTGAGGACAGTATTTTAGTTGCAATTTTAGTTCGCTATAAATAATTATCACGTCTTTACATACAAAATACATTACAATTAGGATATTCCAC